TGGGGGGGAGTGTACGAATCTACTTACCTTTCGGTCATACTCTGTAGGAAAGTGAGTTGTAAAAAAATGGACATTGTCATTCTAACACTGACTTCTGTTTACGTGCTTCTTGTCCAGGCCCAAAAACATTCATTTGAATTTGAAGACTGACTTGGCCATTTGATTTGAATACTGACTTCTCCAAATTCTTTAAGCTACTGCAGCAGCTATCTTATGTTTCCTTTGTCTTGAGTGGAGCTAAAAGGAGTAGAATATAAAAAAAGTTTCACTTAAAAAAAAGTTTTGAAGTTGTTTATTGTATACAACTATTGCACAATTGTCTTGTTGGTAGCTGAGAGCCTTGGAGCCAGTTGGTGTGTTTTTATGTCTTCACTTCTGTGAAAGTTAGCTTAAGAACAATAATTGATATAATAGAAATAAGAATAATATACTTTAAAAAAAATAGGCACAAGGTGATCTCACAGGAGCACACATTGTGAGCCAGGTGAGGCATTATGAACATAATGAGGATGATCCACATAAATTCACACACAGTGTAGTTTGAGACTTAAGGTCAGGTCTGAAGTTTTGCAATCTTTATCTTATAAGACACAATGGAGGCCCAATTCATTAATACTGGGCAACTTCATGTCCTAAATTATAGGGTAGCTGCCAAAAGAGCACATTTAGTAAATCCTGGGGGCAAAATAAATAAATAGACACATAAAAAACAGCATGTTGACATTACCAACCAATGATGCAGGTTAAAAATCACTAAAAACATCCTTAAATTGTTACTTTAATGCAGATTACACAAATCTTGTCTTGCCCCAGTATATTTGTTGGTATGGCCTGCTGTGATGTTCTTGTTACATCATGCAGTGGTCTAACTTTTTAATCTAGGCTATTAAGGGGGTAGTGTAACTGCATTCATCTTTGTAACTCCAAACCCTCATTGTAGGGAAAGACAATATTTGTGTCATTTGCAGTAAAGTAAAAATGTACATTTTTTAAAAATAAAATTTTTCATTTGTCATTGGTTTGTAATTTTCCACAATAGTTCACCACTAGAATTTCTTCAAATACAATTTAAATATAGCACACTCATAGAAATACATTGACCTTGCAATGCAGCAGTGTCTGGCTAATTATCACACCCACTAGATTAAGACGTACAGTATGTGGTGGCAGGTAGGTGAGTAGTCACGGTTGCTGATTTGGGACTGTCTCCCCTCTTGGGGTACTGAATACCCCTCTGTCCAGTCCCATCCCAATCAGGACGGCCTTGTGGGGGAAAAAAAGGAGGGGAAAAAAAAGTCATCAGTGGCTCCACTCTCACTCTCTACAAATACATTTTAAAAAGACTTCACACTTGTGCTGTTATAGTCTTAAATTATCCCAACAACGAGCAAATTAATTTTCCATACATTTTTTAAAATAAATATTTTTGCATTTAGCTACATTCTAGGTTATGTCTATCAAATAAAGCAGTTATTGCCAGCGAAGAACACAGTGTAAGCAACAATCATTTTCATGTAACAGTTTTACTCATCTCTCTGACATCAGCTGTGAGTATTTTCTGTCGTGCTTTTTGTCAGGAGTTTCGGGCGCGGGGGAAATCAACTTTTTCTTGAACATATAGCCTACACATACACTTTTGTTGTGACACAGCTACCGTGACCAATTAGTAGCAATAATGATCATCAACAATGACTTGTGGTGTACTGAAATGCCGTGCAAGTCTGTTCCCCTCAAATTAGTCTGGCTTCAAATAGACTTGTAACCTCTTGGCAAATGTCCAAAAGGATACCCTTATGCATTTTGATACGGCCCCAGCTTGTTTTATGAAGCTAAGACCAGAGTTCCTGTTTGCTGGTGTGAAATTACCAAAAATGTTTTTATTTGACTCATTTTATTAATAATAATAATATGTATTCAATTATGTAGTATTAGTATTATATAGTAGAATATGTAACTATATAAATATAATACCTTAAATAATTTTTATGAATTTTATATAGTGCCTTTTCCAAACTCAGACATGTTTCACAAGGATAATGACAAATGTTCTTGTTTAATGTGAACATTACATGATATTGGATTTGACTCCCACACTTTCAGTTTTACCATTAATACAGACCACATTTGTTATACGGGTTGTACACGTCATAATCACTTCAATACCGAAGTAAGTAGTCATTTCTTTATTGCTGGTAGCCTAATAGGCCAAAGATGACTCACGTCCTTCTAGCAAAAAAACAGCCTCTGTGACTTCGAAGTTCTATCAATATTTAGGCAAAAGCATTGTAATTATTCACAAGGGAAGGGGTGGACTTTTTTAGATTTTTCTGTGATTTTTCTTTATCAAAAGCACTAATCTATATATATTTAGCCATCGCCATTCTAGATTTTATCACTACAGTTTTGTTTCTGTGTTTGTAATATGCCCTGGTTTCAAAATTTATAATGCTTTGGTGTGTGACATGGGGTTGAGCAAGCTTGAAGGGCCGTATTGACTTCAAAGGGATCACGTTTTAATCTCCCTTTGAGAGGAAGCTACTCTTGTAAATAATACAGACCGACTGTTCAAGTGAGTGGAGTTTTATTATTGTCTTGTGCTTTTTTATGTGTCCATAAACATTTTATGTTTATAACTATTTTCTATAATAGTAAATGCTTAATCAAGACTGGTTACTAAATCAGTTTTAAGTTTCAAATTCCCCACCCCCATCCCCCATGTGAACATTTGTACTTTTGATGGGTTGTGGGTTGTTTTTTTTTTGTTTTTGTTTTTGTTTTTTTTTTGACATCCGAGGGCCCTATAAATTCAAGGAAGTTGGTTAAAAGTGGCTTGAACATTAAAAAGATTTGCATGTTATTTTAAAGCCGTAAAATGGCAAGCGTAGGAAGCCTTTGAAGGTCAGTGTTGTGGGGGGTGGGGCAGAATTGCATAAGTTGGTTGTCTGTAAACTCATCATTGCTTCGTGAGGTTTTTTTGGCCCTTAACTTGGATTTTGTGTGCCTGTGTGTGTTTTTGGCTGGTGAATTTAGCAATGAAAGTCCTGTGTTCATTGTCAGTTACAAAGCTATATTTGCTAGTAGTAAAACGTGGCTTGAGCAGTGTCCCGTCTGTGATGCGAACATGGACAACACTCAGAATACTCCACTAGTGCATTAGAGCTGTTCTCAGCAGTGCACGTGCTGTCAGGGCAACCCCCTCTCTCTGACGTTACTAAGGTAAATGCACTTGGTACTTGCACTTGTGCACTTGATCTGACTCTGCCTTCAAGGAGTTGTGGTTGACAACTGCTGCAACTAAAAGCTGCTGAGAGGCCTGTATGTATACTCTTGATGATTTTCTGTCTGTTTGGTTTGCAGTGTTTTTTGAATGCTAAAGCTGATTTAAAAAATAATTATAATAATTTTCATTTAAATGCCGACTGCGATGTTTTATTGTTTTAGCAAGAAAATCGGAGCCTGATATTTTGCCTTCTATTTGTGCTGTGCTGTTGTTTTTATAACAGCAGTGTAGGTTAGCCGGCTGGTGCAGATTGCAAAAGTGACCTGACTGCATAGGAAGTTGCAAAAACTGCTTGTGGATGGCTGTGTTTGGACATTAGGTGTGTCGGTTTTGTAGTGCAGTCATTGGTTTGATAATTGCTATTGCAGTGGACTGTATAAACAGTTGCTGCTGGAGGCCACACATATATACACACATAAACACACACCATGCACACAATCCATGCTTAATCACATGTAAAAGATTGTTAAATACTGTGCTCTTTGTTTGGTACAGTAGTAAAAGCAAGTAAAAGTACTCTTGCAACTTCCCTTTTTGTGGTAGGAAGTAAATGTTTTTCTGTAAGCTTTTGGCATACGCAGTTACAAAGACGAACTTAGTTACACTACTCTCTGTATAGACTAGATAAAAGCTAGACCACTGCATGATGTAAGAAGAACATAACATTTATTTTTTGGAAATTTTCCAGTGAAAGGAAAACTGATGATTTTTGAAGTAATAAAAAAATGCCTTTTTTTTTGCTCTGTTTGATGGCCTGCTCGGATATGGTGGTGAAATATCTGACAAACACTATTAAGAACCTTCATGTTTGTCTTAATGGTTGAATTTTACCACTGCTCGTCAGTATATGCTGTATTTTGATCATTGTTACTCTGCTTCTCTTAAATGGGGGATCATATGTATTATTATGACAACTCATACTAAATTCTTGTACACTTCATGAAATACTGATGATCAGAAATAAAACTGAATACCAATTTGGATAGTTTTGAAATCACTTTGATAATGAAAGTGGTGAAAGTGCTACTACTGAGGCCGGAGCAATGACTCGTTGATTTTTTGATATGCAAGATTAGATAAGAAACCAGTTTGCTTTGGAACATCAATTAAGAGTTGTGTACTTTTGGCTCAACGAGTGGAAGACAAATAAAATTTAGTTTGAAGTTGGTCCTTTGAAGTTGTTTAAAATTTGCTTCTGTGTCTGTTCATCTAAGCACGTGTCACATGCAGCATGAGCATGTTAATAAAATAAAACTAAAAAAGGTATTTTTTTTTCCTTTTTTTTGTCCTCTCTAAATAGGCTACACTCTCAAAGGGTTGGAAACTTCAGACCTAAAAAAGAAAAATGGGGGGGGGGTTGAAATTATTGTAGTTGAAATATTGCAGAAATTTCTTTTTCTCCTTACACATAAAATCACACACACATGCACACACTCAGTCACACAAATTCTCCTTACAAATAAAATCACACACACACTCATACACACTCGCTCAAGCAAAATATTAAACACTCTTATTTATCTTAATTTTATTTCTATAAAAAAATGCCTCACTTAAGTGTTAATACCATCTTTAGCAGTCAAGTATTGAATTGGTTTAAAAAGTTAAAATACACCAGTCTAGCCTCACAATTGAACAGTAGCAGTGAGACACTCCAGTGATGTAACTCCAATGCATGCATTGCAGTAATGCCTTTTTTCCCTCTCTTTTTTTTTCACAGTCAAAGGGAATGGTTACACACACCGCAAAGGACGGCAGTGTCTCAGAATCGTGCCAATGGTAAGTAGATTAGTTAATTTCCCTAAATCATATGTTGGTGTGTCTGTGAGACTTGGGAATAGCCATCCAATGTTCAAGAGTTTTTACACTATGTCTGGGACGTCCCATTTCCAAATATAACCACGCACAGAAATACACTACAACAATGTAAGCATTGAAGCCGTCGTAAACAGAGGCAAATGAATAGGGTTACTGTAAAATATGCGCGAGATTGGAAGTCTGATGAAGGCTGGAGTGTAAAGAAATTTCATTGGTTGGATTATGTAATTGCCATTGCCTCAGAGAGGAGAGGCAGTGGAAGAGCTGTTGGAGTAAAATACTGTAATTTACTTATCTGTATCGTGGAACAGCACCTAGAATACCGCGCTTCTATGTAATTTTACAGTTTCACGCTGATAGCAGACGGTTTACTATCCTGTCTGACTCAGCTGCACCGCTACAACTGGAAATGCAACAAAACATGTAAGGTCATAGAATTAGAAACGGATCATTTAGAAAATGAACAACACAAAGTTAGTCTGCACTGTTGGGTGCTCTGTGGCTTATTTGGTGTATAAAATTTCATACCGTAATTAATTTTAAATATTCAGAAACTCTACAACCATAATTTGACTGGGAAACTTGTTAGTCTTGTTTAGTTGAAAGACAGTTGATCTGAGGTTTGGAGTTGTTTTTTTTGTGTTACGTACAGGTGTGCTCGTACCTGTTCTTTTTTGTTATTTGCACTGTATTTGAGCACTTTGTAGGCCAAAGTGGTAGTGGTATTGTCTACAGTGGGTTTGCTATGGAGTAAAGTGAGCTGCAGGCAGGAGGGCTGTGTGTGTGTGTGTGTGTGTGTGTGTTACTGATTTACATGATATAAGAAGGCACCATGATTCGATGGTATATCAAACTGGGATATACCTTTTTTTTAAGGAAAAAAACTGAAAGAAAGAAGAAGAATTGTGTTTGTGCCTTCTGGCAGTGGATAATTATGAAACGAGATCTTATGGTTGACCATTTTGAGGCATGTGTCCCTGTGTAGTTTTTATAACTCTAAAATGGACAATTGCATATTTCTATCCCTCTCCAAGTGACTGTCTTAATGAAGAAGACTTCTCACTCTAGATTATAGTGTTACAGTATGTAGGTGTGTTTAGATTTTTATAAACTGTATTACAGCCGAGTTTTTTTTTCCATCACAGAGAAATGTGATTTGGGTAAGACTAAATTGGAGAAATTGTGCAATGAGACTGAACTGAAAAAAAAAATTCCCAGTGTTGAATTAACTACTACAGTGTTCAGTTACACACATTACACTAAGTTACATGAATACTGTAATAGATAAATGAACAATGTAACAGAGCTAAATGAGAACGAGTTTGTATAGACTTGTAATTAAGATTTTTTTAAGTGAAATGAGCTCAGTAAGAATTAAATGTAGACTGTTTGAGAGGGAAATAAAGGCTGCAAGAATTAAATCAGGACTGTTGGAATTAAATGTAGTTAAATGAACACGTAAGAGTTAAATGAAGCGCGATAGTGAGTTAAATAAGGACTGTTACAGTTAAATGAACACTGTAAGGGTTAAGTGAATACTGTAAGAGACAAATGAACTCTGTGAGAGAGATCAATGTTAAATGAAGGGCGTAAGAGAGTTAAATTAAAGTCATTAGAGTTAAAAGAAGACGGTGAGATTTAAATAGACACCGCTAGAGTTAAATCAACACTGAGTTAAGTGAACACGGCGAGGGTTAAGTGAGCAGCACTGGAGACTTTGCTGTGTTTCTGAGCTTGTAAACGCTGCTCGTCATATTTAATATGTCAGTGAATATTTTATTAGCAAAATCAAGCAGGACAGGTTGCTGATCTCTTGCATGCAGGGGTGATGTTGTTCTCCAGTTATCGTACTTTTGGCACGCTTACGGCAGCTATTGGTTGTTGTTTTTTTCCCCCCTTCTTCTTTTTCTTTAACTAAATCACCGTGTCAGAGCCTGACGGTGACATCGATACAGGGTTCTTGTAGTTAGGCTAATGTTTTTTTTTTTTCCTCTTTGTTGCTTTCAGGTTGGCACATCGACGTCCCCCCCGGTTCGCGCTCTGCTGCGCGAGCGTGTCTGTCCTTTTTTTTCGGTCGCGCGCAAAACGACTTTCCGCGCGTGTGCGCGGGCGCGTGAGCGCGCGAATGAGAGAGAGACAGAGCGAGAGCGCGCGCGGAGCGGGAGCGGGGCCTGGCGGTGCCGTAGCAGCACAGAATGGTTTGTGAGTTTTCAACAGGGGGGTGCAGGCCGTGCTGTGCTGCGGCAGCAACGCCAGGACTGAAGAGGGGAAGGAGAGGGAGAAAAGTAGGCAAAAAACAGGAGCTGGTGAACGTCTGTGTGTCTCTGTGTGTGTGTGTCTCCTGAACATCGCCGCGACTGGCTGCCTGGCTGTAGCAGCACGTAAATATTGGAGTTAAAGCAGTAGTGAATCCTCCAGTATTGACCGTGCTGCTGAAGTTAGGCGGGCCGTTTACCGTCCAGTGGAGCCTCCAGGCGAGGATTAGTGCTCTGACTGCACCAGCATCACCCATGGAGAGGGTCAGAAGAGGAACGGTAGAGTTTGGTGGGTATGGGCCTACCAGTGCTGTGTGAGGAACTGTGGTGGACCTATCAGTGTTTTGTACAGAATTATTGTCTGGATGAGCGTACCGGTGTGTTATATGGAATAAGCATTTGTATGGTGTTTATAAACACTTGTGATGGATATGTTTTACAGAGAATCTGGCAGGTATGGGCCTACCAGTGTTTTGTAAGGAATTACAATGGACTACTAGTATTTTATAAAGAATTATGATGGGCATGTGCCTGTCACTGTTTTATAAGGAAGTATGATGGAAGCGCCAGTGTTTTATGAGGAATCATGATGGGCATGGGCTTAACAGTGCTTTATAAAGAATTATGGTGGACCAGTGTTTTATAAAGCATTGTGATGGCTTTGGGTCTGCCAGTGTTTGCAATGAATAATGGTGGGAACTACTAGTACTTTAATAAATAATTACTATAAGTAATTAAGTAACAGTGTTTTGTTAAAAAAAAATGGACCAGCATTTTAAAATGAATCACGATTGGTATGTGCCTGCCAGTGTTTTATCAATAAACACTAGTACTTTGTAAGGAATCATGTTTTCAGGCCTACCAGTGTTTGGTAAGGAGTCATTATGAGCATGGGCTTACTAGTGCTTTATAAAAAATATGGTGGACCAATGTTTTATAAAGCTTTCTGATGGCTATGGGTTTACCAGTGTTTGGAATGAATAATAGTGGAACTTAACAGCATTTTAATGAAAATTATGATGGGTATGGGCCTGTCAGTGTTTTGCAAGCAATTGTGGTGGGTATGGAGCCTAGCAGTGTTTTAAAAGGAATTGTGGTGGGTTTGGGCCTAGCAGTGTTTTATAATGAATTATGGTGGATCTGCTAGTATTTTTTAAAAGGATTATGATGAGTCTGGGCCTAGCAGAGTATAGAACGGATGTACAGCTCATAACACCTTTTGCAGTTTGATGCATTAAACAAAACAGATGCAAGATGTGTATGTGTGTTTTAAACCATAATCCTGACTAGATGTTATATATTACTCTGAGGTTCAAAATTCATGAAGAGATTGTTGCCTGTTTGGTGAACAGATGACAATTTATTTATTGTACAAGAAAACAAATAAAGTATTGTCAAATAAAATTGAGTCATGTGGTCCTTATACAACTTGGATGGCTTAGGCTGTACATATCAGGTGTTACAAGTCATGTATAAAGCTATCAAAATTATGCATAATCTGGATGGTTACATTTCTATTCACCAGGGCCAAATTCTTAAGACATTCAGAAATCTTTCTAAGGCCTGGCAGGTCATGTTCTTGAGAAGCTGTGGTTCTTTTTGGTGGGGGGGGATGAAGTGTCCCAAATGGCTTAACCTGGCTGAGCAACGCACACATACTAAAACCTTCTAAATATGCATGACTGCTAAATGTTAAAAACGAGGCAAGGTTGGCTCAAATGATAAAAAATGGTCATCATATCTCCCCCACACACGCACTGATATTGCCCTAAATAACACAGCATCGCCATCTTCTGGGAAACCTTAAACTGCCTCAGGGTGTTGCATCGCATGACGGCTTTTTTTTTCGGGATTTCACAATGAATGGAAAAAAGTTGATACGATCACTTCAGGAATTCGTTCCATTTTTTTTTAAACTTTTCTGTGTTTGTTTAAATACATGTGGTTCGTTGATGGCAAGAATATTTCAACAGAATCCTCGCAGGTGCTGATTAAACTAAAGTCCCCTTTTCCACCAGCAGGCCAAGAATATTGGAGAGGTTTTGGTTCGTCTGTTTCGGTCGCAGCGGCCCTGTAAAGAGTGGAAAAAACGAATATATGCAGATTAATTTACAGCAATGCTCGTGCAACTTACGTACAAGTAACTTGCGATGGTTCTAAACTGACTTAGATCGTTTTACTGTAACACCACAAGGCAAAATAGATGCTGAGTAGTTAAGCTATGCAGAGTAACATCTCTGACATCTACCAAAAATATCTGGTGTGCAAATAAATTCCACCCTTTCATGATTTTATGCTGGGTTGTTTTTTCGTCTCACCTTGCAGACAGTTCTTCTCCACTGAGGAAATCAGCACTGAGATGGTGGAATGAGGGTCCACCGAGGCTCCATCAGATTTCGCAGGTCGCTCGTGGAACTGGGATTTTTCTTACGTCCAGCGCAACAAGACTTGGGCTTTTGGAGGAAAACATTCGGAAGAAACTTCCGAGCATCTCGAACGGCGAAGCGCAACTCGATGGTTTCCGCTCAGCCTTCGGACAGAAGCTGTTAAAAGAAAAATCTGAAACGCTATTTCTGCGAAATTCAGCCTTACGCAACGGCTCCGTCACGGTCAACGACTTTTCACTCGATTAAAGTAATAAATAATGCGTCTAGTTTTTAAACACTCCAGCGCAGCCAAGACTAAACCGAAACCTCCGCTAATTAACATTTGGCCATTTGAAAAATTAACCCCTTAAACTGCGAGGGTCCGTATGTAGGTCCACACTCCAGTTCCCTCACTCCCATAACTACAAAACTTAGTTTTAACACATTAACCTCTTAAAACGTGTTGGAAAAAAAAAACAACACATTCTGTCTCTAACTAGACACATCAGTGTGTTCAGTTGGAGACGACACGTTTTGCATTGGTTTTAACATAAAATGTGTTGAAATATTTATACACACAGTTATGGATGACATATTTTTGGGTTACTTTTAACACAGAACGTGTTAAATCACAAAACAGTATGATACAGAAAGTGTTAAAATGGATAACACAAGTTTAAATTTAACACATCCCTTTTTAGAGTGCAGTAATACATAATAATAACCCTGCAGTTTAAGGAGGTAAACCAGGGGAGCTGGTCCTGGAGGGCTGGTGTCCAGCAGAGTTTGGTGATTTACCTGCCCAGACACACCTGATTACACTCATTTGCTGATAGCCAGGTTTAATGGGTGGTGTTTGAGGAGGGGAACTACCAAACTGTGAACACAGAGTGGTGCATCCCTGAGTGAAACTCACGATCCTGGGTCATTTAGCATTCATGCAGACCTCAAATCTGGATCTCTTATCCTTATTGTTGACTCATTTGTGACGAAATTAAAAAAAAGTTGCGTCCAATATTAGAAGTGACCCATCATTTTTATTTTTGGTGCTCCATTAGTTCTCATAAGTTTACTACTCTTTATCAAATAGGCTATCAAGAAACACGACAAAATAAAACCGGTGCCCATAGGCAAAGGATCGTGAACATTAAGGGCCGGTTTCCCAGACCCAGATTAAAGCTAAGCCTAGACTAAGCAGAATTGTTAATGTTGATCAACCATTGGCAATTTTGTCCCAGACTAAAGCCTTAAAAAAGGTGCCAAAGAAGAACCATTTTAGTTCCCTACATATCCATTTACATTATGTGGAGGTTCTTTAAACCTTAAATAAAAAAATAGTCCCCAAATAACCATCCACATAAAAGTCCTTTAGGGAACCAGAAATGGTTCTTCTATGGCAATAAGCAAGGACCCTTTCTGGCACCTTTATTTTTAAGAGTGTAGGCTTTGGTCACGTGAGCTAATGGTGGGCTTTATGCAGGGTCAAACAGATTAAGGCAGTCACTAACACTCAGTTGTCTATTCAAGTCTATATGTGAGAGACGATAACTTTTTTTTTGCTAAATAAACGCGGATGGCTTCAACTTTGAGGCAACAACAACAACAACAGGATATTATGGCAACCTTTCAAATGCACGTGAGCCTTCAGCAACATCATAAAGTGTAATATCTCATAAAACGGCATTTAATGTCTCATAAAGTCTACGTTTTAGAGCATCACATGCTGCCGGTGCAGCGCTGGCGGCAGCTCTTTGCCTCCGTGTGAATGAGATGAGACAGAAAAATGCACTGACATGCTTTCGTTCCTTCACAGTGAAGTCTGGGATGAACGGATTGGAGTGAAGACGGAGACACAGAGCACCTATCGTTGCAGAGAAGGAAAAAAGGAACAAAAAAACGAGATGTCCTTGTTTCAGAGATGATGACTCAGCTGACACTGACACACACACACATACACACACTTGGGTCACTCCATTTCAGGTTAGTGCAGGCTGAGCTAACCACAGTGCCGCTCTGTGCGCCTGCAGGTGCATTAAAACGCTCCTATGTACCGTCTTAGATGAGCTACTGCAACATACAACTGAACAGGGTCACACGAGAGAGGAGTGGAGACGGATAAAACTCTGCTTCCTCTCTTAATCTTCAGCATCCCGTCTGCGTTTTTCCTATGAGCATGCTCAAAAACAAACTTCTGAGACGGTCACGGCAGCTTAATGGTTAAACCCGAGTACTTTCCCTCCAAATGCAGGCTATGGATTTAGTACATTTTCCCCTCTCTCTCTCTCTCTCTCATGGCTCCGGTTCACTCCACTCGAGGAAGCCGAGGCGAAATCTGGAGAGTAATCTTCCAAGAAGACAGCAGGTCGTGTGCCATTCATCAAAAGACAAATGCCCTGAGATAATCGCCTGTGTTGGCGCGACTTTCTCTAAATAACCCGCTCAATCACTCCCCCGAAGGAGCAGCAGCAGCACCCAACAACACCAAAGTATGACTTAACATCCAACATCTGCTGCCTTTCGCCTCCCTGCATCTCCTAATAGGCTAGACAACGAAGCTGAACTCCGCTTTAATCTCCAGCTTCTCGTTCGAATTTTCCTGTTCCACCTTAAATGGTGCACCATTTAAGGTGGAACGAGAAGCTGACTTCAGCTTCCGATACCAAGAGGACTAAACTTGTACCGAAATTTCACACCACAAGTAGCCTAGCGAAGAGGAGGAGTGTTAAAAAGCGAGTACAGGTAAGCTAACCTAGCTAGGTTAGCCTGGTAAATAAACACAACTTGGGTTAGAAGAAAAAGATGACACCAGAAATATCGTCACAGAATATTGACCTACTGTACCTTCTTTTGGTCCATTTACCTTCACATCTGTTCACTGGTAACCCACCTAAAGAAAGACAGGAAAAAAAAACAAGAAGAGCCGCATGAATGGAGAGGTTTTTTGAAAAAAGCTAAGAAATTGTTTCTGCTATCAGGGAATCCCATAAAACTACTGACGCCGTTTTTTCGAGGCAGGCGATTTTTATTGGACAGAAACGGCGCGCGCGCCAGTTACCAGGGCGATTGTTGCTGTGCAGATTTCAGAACTCGTTGCTCGCCGAGTGTTTGCACAGAGTTGCCGTTTGTGGGTGAACGTTAAACGGGGCAAAACTACCGAATAAAAAACATGTTTTTACTTCGACCGTTAATCCGTGACACGGCGAATCCGAGATGCTGGCATAATGTCGACTATGTGTACGAACTCAGGCGCGGATAGGAAACGTTTCGTTTTTCCCCGCAGTCGGTCAAATTGAGCGACTCCCTTACTTCTCCGGAGGTGTTGTTGCCATGCAAAACTTAACGGTGGGAGCGAGCGGGGCTAAGTTAAGCTTTTAAGGTCACGCAGATTTTGACACGACTTTATTTTGCCTCCCTGTGCTTCTCCATCTCTCTCATCTTTCGCTCCCTCTTAATCTCACACACCACCGTGATCAAATAAGCGCCACAACACAGCCTCCAATCCATTCTGCTTATTTCGGTATTACAACTGTTTAACAGCCCCATATTACTGTCCATCCTTGAAGGAATGGTTCACCGAAAATCTAATTTACACAATCCCAAATGATGTCGACGGGGTCAAGGTATGTTTGCTGTCTGCTTCTTTAGGTTTGCACTGGTTCTGCGACGCTGATGTCACTCCAAAGTTTATTATTAGACTATTAGCAGGTCTACAAAACTAAGGTAAGCCAACTTCAGCCAATCGACTATGTCTAGCGTAAGGGGATGGTGTAAACTTTAATTTTCAGTTAGCTTTTCCTTTAACCAAACTTCTTAGCATTCCAAGCATTTTCCAAGCATTTTCTCACAAACCATTATTTTTTCCATGTCCACAAATAATCTGGTTGAGTATGGGGTCTGTCGACTGACTAATGCGGATGTTTTTAGGGGGCATTCTGGCCTAAAACGATTATTTAATGTGAATTTTGTCACATTGTCTAATATTTAACTATATAGTGCAGCATTACATGCCTCAGCCTCCTCGGTTTGACAGAATTCAGGATTTTGTATCCTTCACGTCCAACATTGTTCTCTCACTACAATACCCAGCATCCATCACTCAAATACAACATACAACCACTGTGGGACCCCCCCTCCACTGCAATACACTAATACATTGATGTACCAGTGATGTAGAGGCTCACAAACACACACTTGATATTCTGCCTTCTAGCAGTGACGACAGCTTCTTCAGAAGTTCCTCCCACCTTCAAGATACATCATCAGAAGATGTACGGGCTCCTAGTCTTTAAACGGGAAAACCTCACCCTCAGGATTACTGTGGGGTCGCTGTAAGAGGACAGCGAGCATGTTTACAGCTGATGTAGAGCCGTTTGAATTTGTCAGTTTGGCCGGAGTGCCACTTTAATGTTAGCCAGAACTTACAAACTGCCGCTAGATGTCACTGTTGCTCTTCTCTGAACACTTCATGACAAATCCGTGTGCTACGTCATTTCCGGACTGTCAGAAGCACGGATGTGAGCGCAGGAAAAAATGACCTCCGTCGAAATGACACTAGAATAGCTTTATTTTGGGACTTTCTCGTTTGCTGGTACAACTTCTGCTGCCCAGGCCGTCGTATCTGTGAGTGTTGTGTCATGATGGCGGGGCTGTTTTCGTGCTGCTTCGACTGCGGTCGTGGAAACTCGGGCCACGTAACCCTGAAAGAAATGCCAACGGTCCAGCTAGACACGCATCACATGGGTAAGAAATGTGATCAGTCACACACGATCACAGTAGCCTCCCAATTACATTACAGTCCAAGCACAAAGAGATGTGGGTGGCTCAACATGTCCGAGACTGCATGCAGAGCTGCCCACTTTAAAAAGATGCTTCTTTAGTAAAGGTGGTGGTTCTAGTTAGATCTCTGAGTTCTACATTGACCCATTTCATGCTTAAGTGGTTCTTTGCCTGTTGAAATGGTTGTTGAGATTGGTGGAGAATGTATTCTATGTGGTTTTATGTAGAACCTTTTTGAAAACGGTTCTGTGTAGCACTAGGCATGTTTATTTTGTTGCTACAAGTGGGTTGTATATGGTTCTAACCTATGTAGAACCCTTCAAATGGGATTCTAAATAACACCAAAAAGGTATCTACTATTGTTACAATGTCAAGCTTGTAACAATGGAAAACTTTATGGAGCTACATAGAACCATTTTAAAAAATATGTAACATATTGTCAGTCAATCTGAAGAACCATTTCACCATGCAAAGAACTGTTTAAACATGAAATGGTTCTATATAGAACTCATGGTTCTGTAAAACACCTTTAGAAAACCATGAGTTGCATTTAGGATCAGTCACAGATCAATAGTAAAACCATTGGGATCTGTTACCTTGCAAACAACTAGTGAGGAAAACACAAAATACCATCACTAACCTTTAGACGTTATTATAAATCCAACAGGAACCAACACCAACCTTTAATTGTTTCTGTGTACCTTTTATTTTCAGCAGGGTGATAAGTTTGGGTGACGTAAATGGGTTATTCTTACAAACATGTTGAATACTGGAACCCAGGTTGAAAAAATTAAAATAACTTAAACTTAATGTTTTTTTGTTTTTTTTTTTGAAAGATGCATTTGCATTTTTGTACAGCTTTTTTTACAGTCTGTATACTGTTGTCAGACTAAGTATCTAATTACATAATATTTTGCAATTTTATCTATCACTGCGACACATTGACAGCCATAGAGGTTTATCATTTTCCTTGTGCCAAATAACATTTTGTTAATTTGGTTCACATCCTTACAAGAAACCATTAAAGAGATTCAACAGTTTAAAGTCATGCACACTGAATTCTTCTAATTAACAAAAAATGTAACATAGATATAAATATTGGTAATGAGAAACACATATGTGGACACACTGCATAATGAAAATTGGAGTAAAAATGCCAGAAAACTTAAAATAAGTGAACTCCTCAAACATTTGTGTAAAATATAGAGCTCAAGTTGACCCACTGCATCTTGTAAGTATTGTTTTATCTGTGTGATGCGTATGGCACTAAAATATTTATTGACATGCTTTGAGGCAGTTTTGTGAGAATGACCCAACTACTGCGGGGGCAGGGGGTTGCCGTCCTCTAAAATCGTTATTGGATCCCTCATACAGATACTGACACTATTGTACACCCATGACTCAAACTGATGTCTCAACAACATAACTCACCAGTTGGCCTCGAACAACCCTACACGGACTGTCCTGATGTCTGTTTATTTTCCTCTGATTCTTAATGCATCTCATGCATGTTAATCATTTTCAGACAGGTCCTTCACAACCTACAGCATAATATATTTGTTATTTATACTCTTAAACATGTAGTCTACTATAAACATTTAGGTTAATGTTAGACACTAGTGTGTGGCATGGCTTGGGATCATCGATTTGTTTGAGAGATCATGCAAGTGAACAAGCAGGCAAATAGGCAGATTACATTGCCATTGTGTTATTAATTGCAAGTAATTTTTGTATAGCTGGCCCATTACTTCTTACTTTCTTTTTTGGCACTGAGGCCCAAAAGATTTGGTGAGGTCTGCATGGTTGATCATGGTTTTCATGTTAAGTGCTCTACCTTTTGTGAATGTGTATTTGGTATTACAGGCACCGATGTTGTCATTGTGAAAAGTGGCAGAAGAATATGTGGCACAGGTGGCTGCATTGCAAACGCCCCTCTCCATCAGAACAAGAGCTACTTTGAGTTTAAGATTCAGTCTACAGGTAAGTTTAAGTGCATTTATATCTAGTACATATTCTACTTGGACGAAGGTGGCTAGAACTGGCTTTTAAGCAGGAGGTTTGTAAGTGAGGTGGAGGATTATTTATGTTTTTTTTTTCCTGTTAAGGCCTGGTCCATGTGTAGGCCACAATTCAATTCCTCATTTTCATAATTGCATAAGTTATATATTAGTTCCATAGTAATAGTCAAATATTTAATAGTAGTTACTGAATTAGTCATAGGACTAACAAGGGAATAATACGTTCCACCCCTTAAACTCTGACATCCATAATTTACACTTGTTACTACATAATCCTTGTATTATTTTAATAGTAGTTACCTAATAAATTTGTAGTAGTTAGTGAGTAGAAGTTGTAAGATTAGTAGCTGAATTATATGGTTGGAGTTTAAGGAGTTATTAATGTGTCTTTGAATGACACTTTAGTGGCAGGGAACCATGGTAACCGGTAGCATCACAGCAAGCATGTTGTCCCTGGTTCTTGACAGGTGTTTGGGGAGTAGGGGTAGCAACGCAGAAAGCTAACCTTAACCAGGTCCCACTGGGTAGGGATGCACACAGCTTAGTGCTGAGGCAAGATGGAACTGTGTACCATAACAACGAGGAGAAGAACCGGCTACCAGCTAACAGTCTGCCGCAGGAAGGAGACATTGTGGTGAGTTTCTGAGGTCTCAATGCTCTTCAGAACCTGGAGATGGGCACTGTGGGGAAATATAATGATACCAAATGAATTTTTTTTTCTTTTCTGAGGTTTGATAAGTTTAAACAGACAAAAAAGAACCAGCAGTGCCACATTAAAAAAAAATTAAATATGTATACAGTTGTATACAGTATTGTTTGCCACTTATCTTGTGTACATATTTATGCATGCTGTGGGGGTAATAATTTAAAGTTAAGTCCATCCTTTTTCACACACATTAAAGCAGGAGTGAAATCAGTCCAGTAAACTACAAAGTACTAGTAAAACTTCAAACATTAATTGCTATTATTAAATACATTTTAAATGCGGTTATTAAATAAATAAATAGTATATGTCATTAAATGCATACAATGATGCAATTCTTCACTTGGCACCCATATGAGCTTGTTGGACATCCCATTCCAAAACTGGGGATTGATATGGAGTTGGCCTCCACTGCCTCCTTTCTCTCTGAAAGCATTCCACAAGATTTTGGAGTGCGTCTGTAGGAATGTATGCCCATACAGTCAAAAGAGTATTTTTGATGTCAGACACTGATGTTGGACAAGAAGGCCTGTCTTGCCATTGATGTTCCAATTCATCCAAAAGGTGTTCAGTGGGGTTGAGGTCAGGGCTCTGTGCAGGCCACTGGAGTTCTTCCATACCAAACTTGTCAAGCCATGTCTTTATTGCAAATTTGGAGTTTGCTCTGTGCACAGTCAGGCTGGAACAGGAAAGGGCCTTTCCCAAATTGTTGCCACGAAATTGGAAGCATGCGGTTGTCTAAAATGTCTTTGTATGTTGTAGCACTAACATTACCTTTCACTGTAACTAAGGGCCCAAGCCCAAAACCTGGCAAACAGCCTCAGACCATCACCAAACTTTACTGTTGGCTCTATGCATGTTGTGGGGGTAATAATTTAGGGTTAAGTGCATCCTTTTTCACACGCATTGAAGCAGGAGTGAAATCAGAGTCCAGTAAAGTACAAACTAATAACATCTCCAAACACTAATTGCTATTATTAAATACATTTTAAATGCTGTTATTAAATATCATAAAATGCATACAATGGTGCAATATTTTACTTTTATTGTACTTTAACTGCCAACTTAAAGGTAATAAAGTCTGCTATAATTAGGCTTTTGGAACTCAGGACATTTGATCACTAAAGGATAACACATAAAGTCATAAAGAAGAATAGACAAAAAAAAAATGCTTTTACACACACACACACATACATACACACCCCTTCTTTACTGTTGGCTCGATGTTTTCTGGTAGGTAGTGCTCTCTTGGCATCTGCCAGATCCAGATTTGTCAGTCAGACTGTGAGATAAAGTAAAGCGTGATTCATCCCTCCAGAGAACACGTTTTCACTGTTCCAAAATCCAGTGGCGGCATGGTTTACGCCCCTTCAGCCGACGCTTGACATGGTGCATTTTGATCTTAGGCTTAAACGCAGCTGATAGGCCATGGAAACCCAGTTCTTTTGCTGATGTTGCTTCCATAGGCAGTTTGGAAGTCTGTAGTGAGTGATTCAATAGAGGATAGCACTAGGCACTTCAGCACTTGGTGGCTCCACTCTGTAAGTTTGTGTGGTTTGTGTGAGCTGTAGGTTCTCCTAGACTTCCATTTGTCCATTTCATGATAATAACAGCCACAACTGACTGGAGCAGATCTAGCAGGACAGAAATTTCACAGACTGATTTGTGGCAAAGGTGGCGTCCTATACATAAGTCTATGTGCTCTTCAGGATGACTCATTCTACTGCCAGTGTTTGTCTATGCAGATTGTAAGGCTGCATGCATGATTTTATACATTTGTTAGCAAAGGGTGTGACTTAAACACCTGAACTCAATAATTAGGAGGGGTGTCCACATGCTTTTACCCATATAGTGTGTATGTGTGACCAGTTTCCAAGGTGGGTTCCATGCTGTAGCCCACCCTTTATCACAATCATTATTAGTTGGTTTGACCACAATACTGCTATTGACCAGCTATTATTTGTGTGGGGGACTATTTTCAGCACAGCAGTGACAGTGGCATGATAGTGGGGTCCTATTATTTATGGTGCTGTGTGAGTGGATCAGATGGCAGTTTTGCTGGTATTTTATACACAAGCCAGTGTGACAACTTGTTTGAGAGTGGCCCACTCACAGATGTCTAGTTGAAAGTTGCCTTGTGGTCAGAAATTGGTCATCAATGAAAGGCTAGGGGATAGCTAAGACAAACTATGCATCAGTAGGTTGGCTACAGTCTCTAGTTGTTCACCAGAGCTACAAGGTAGGTATTTCTAATAAAATGACTGTATATTGTTGAGCAAGCATTAATGAAACCTGACACTTTCCTCTTTCTGTGTCTCTGTTCATTTGCAGGGTGTTACTTATGACCATGTGGAGCTGAATTTGTATCTAAATGGAAAGAACATGAACTGTCCAGCATCAGGCATTCGAGGAACAGTTTTCCCTGTAGTATACGGTGCGCCACACTGTTGTGGAAACAGCCATTTTTCTTTCCATTTAATGTATTGCACTGACAGGGCCCCAAAAGACTTTATTATTCCATTTTACACATATACTAAAGCACAAAACATTGCAAAATCAGCTTTTCTGAAAGCAATACTGACTGTACTAAGTGTCAGTTAAATATGCATTAATTTGGCCTCAGATTTTGTCTCTTTTCATTTATCTGGTGAATAGCAGCGGTCAATATATGGGGTATATTTCAATTAAGCTACAAAAACAGAGGAATGGACCTATATCCACCTATTAAGCCTACAGGCTACCTATTCACATTGAAGTTATTAAGAGTGTTTCAGCCCAGACTGCTTTTTGAATGAGGCACAATATGTGGCAGCCAATCGGAACATGTGTCAGTCTTAAAGACTCCCTTAACAAAATATTGTTCAATTCTAAGGGTTGAAGACTGGAAAGTGGTCATATTATGACTGTACATAAACACGATTGTTATACATTTATACAATTTACACAATTGTTATACGTTTATGTTATACAAAAATGTGGAGTATAGGCCCTTTAAGTCTGTCCCTCATTGATATACATGTCCAAATTAGATAGGGTATCTTATGGTCTTTTTGGAATGTTAAATTGCACTCTAACTTTTTTTCTCTTTCTTTTTTATTCCTCTACAGTGGATGACAGTGCAATATTGGATTGTCAGTTTAGTGACTTCTACCATGCTCCTCCACAAGGCTACCAAAAGATTCTTTTTGAACAACAGATATTCTGATCTTCGGAGGCACTCCATGTACATCAGCTTTCCAGTTGTGTCTGTTCCAGCTCAGAGACAGAAACGAATCACTATATGTTTGTGATTATGTGGCTGATGCTTTGCTCTGCTGGTTCAAAAGTGCAACATGCCAGTGTTACGTCTTCAGTGATTTTTGCTCATGTAGAATTGATCCATGTTGGCAGTTAGAACACTCCTTGTTTGCCCTGTTTTATGTACTTATTAACCATTTTTATTTGCATTATTTAATTTAAAGATTCTGTATATTCCTCCAAATTTCCGGCACTTTGCTTTAGACTACACACCATGTGCTGCTTTAAAAAAACACTCTTACATGCATTTGATTATTGTTGTAATGCAATCTTGTTATGAATTCTTGAACGTTTGACCGACATCAGGGGCATAATTATTTTGAATATTACAACTGACAATTACAGCTGACCTACAGTGTCTCTGTCAAAAAGTAAAAGATGTAACAATCATGCAGTATTGCCAGATGCTTTCCAATGGAAATAATGCAAAAATTCAAACCAAATCCAGAATATTTTATTCTGTATATTTATGTTAGACACAAAAATTCTGAAATGAAAATTTTTACACTGTAGTTGTTTCACTGTTGCAGCCGTATCTCAGTGCAAGCGTTTTTTTTTGTTTGTTTGTGGTTTTTTTTGTAAAACCCACTAAAACCACATACTTTCACTAGATATCAATTCATCTAACTTTGTCATAGTTCACTACATTTTTCATATTGTGTAACTTCCTTCTTATTCTATATTATGATAAGGTTCTTTCTAACTTTACTTGACTGACATGTTGTAATAAGGAAAGTTATAAGAGATAATATCATATTATGTGGGGGGCAGAAAAGAAAGATGTAGTGCCTATACTGAGTATTTTATACACAGAGTGAGATGTTTTAAGAGGTTTTAAGTTATACTGTTTTTGTTCAGAAACATTAAATGTAAAAATAGCCTGTCATGTGATATCCATAATGTTTTGTATGCACTAATCAGTCATGTTATTTGTGTTGTATTTGTTGGTAAAGTAATAAAGACATTGCTCTTTGGTAGAAGCATTGCAGTTTCATTGACATTACATAATTGCTGGACGGTAGGCCTCAACATGGCATTTATTAGCTAGCAACAAATACAAATTGAAACTAAACTGGTTTATACACCTGTCTACAAGGAGGACTGGGCTGCTTTAAACCAATATAGGACACATTTTTTTCAATTTGTATTTGATAGGAATCAGCCATATCACCCTGATACCAACACTTATACTTTCGAAAGTGTTCTGCTCTGATACAAAGTAATGCCAAGGCTAACATACAGAAACAAGTACTTCTGAAAGTCATAAAAGGGGAAATTTATTGACGTGTGAAACTGAAAACCAGTAAGTGCAGACATCAAACAAATATATTTATAAGACTGTTACTATTAAACTGCCACGGAAGCCAGTTGTTTACTTGTGTGAAATATCATCATATGATCTGCCACTTTAGAGCATTTACTCTGTCTCCTGTTGTTTGTGCATGTGCATGTGTGAGGAAAAGCGGAAGCGGGTGGAGGGAAGAGCAGGCCCAGTGCCAGAATCAAAGATAAGGAAAATACTGGGTGATAAATGTACAGTAGCTCTAGAGTACTGGTGCACAACTCTGATTCTGGAGGGCCAGTGTTCAGCCTGTTTTGGTAGTTTTCAAACTCAAACACACCCATGAAACCTGACAACAGGCAAGTTGAATTAAGTGTGTTTGAGCAAATAAACCACCCAACTCTGCTAGACACCGACCCTCCAGGACTGGAGTTATGCACCCCTGCTCTAGAGCCACACATTAAGTAGAGCCACATTTGCACATGCAGCACATCCCTAAAAAGCAGCCAACACAGAGTGATGTGTGCACACCCTCCTATGTTCATCTATAACATTTTTCTGTCTGGTGCACAAAAGTTTACTTTCACTTTGTTTTTGCCATCTGCCGCTACAGAGGTATGTATAAAAAGTAGAGGCTTTGGTGGAGCATGAAGATTAGATGGTGAACCCCTGACACCAGGCCTGAGGAAAAGCAGTTCAGATCTTACATGTGTATTTTTTTTCCGCTTTTTCAGCTCATACAGTGTTTTTTTAAAAAAATAGAAAATAAGTTTGTCGCTTAAAGAAAACATTAAGTGTCAATATTTTCTTCTGAGAATCGATTCTCAGAGGGAAACCTCATGATCGGAAGTATCGATACTTGAGTATCGATCCGCCCACCCGTAACATTTGACGCTTTTGCCGTATGAACCCTCGTAACGTTGGATGGGTCATCTGCTGCTGGAACATGCGCAAGATTACGCACACTGACGTAAACATACTGTACTGCTTTTAGCTTCACTGCTAAGTTCAGTCCGGGTGTTTGGCCGTTTTTACGGACCTGTGTGTGTCGTAGAGTTTGTTGAAGGGCCTCGGCGAGCTACTTATGATGCATTTAACCCGGGCGAGCAGAGTCGGTTAAAGGAGGAGGTGTAAATAAGGCGCCCTTAAACGCTCGAGTGCGTTTTAGCACACTAGCCGTTTTGGTGCGTCCCTGATTGAAATCCCGTCTTTGGGCTCCTCCTCTCGGCTCCTCCGTCCCCTCCCTGCCCCACCACGTCCTGTCACGTCTGGCTGCTGCCCCACCACCACCACTGCTCGCCTCCTTTCCAGTGTTACTGTCTACTTCCCCTCCTCGCCGGAGCTCCGAGCGTTGGACTACAAGGCAGAGAGACACGCACAGCCATGGCCGAAAACGCCGGCTTGGAAAACCACCGCATCAAGAGCTTTAAAAACAAGGGGCGAGATGTCGAGGTACGTGTTTTCGGAGGCATATTAAGCCACTGTTTTACCTTATTAAGGACCCGGCTCGGTTTGTACGCCTCTGGTGTCGATTTTGTTCCCGTTTTTATTCGGGTTGCATGTATGCAGGATTTGATATAAACCCTCAAGTCCGGAAAACCCTCCTCCACCACCAGCTGCCACCATCGCATGCGGAGCGGGCGCGGCCTAATAGTACAGAAAGGCCTTTTTAATCGCCTCTATGTCTTTAAACACTCACCTCTCGGCCACCTTACGTATTACTTTTAATTATAAGAAACCGACTATGAAGTATCTTTAAAGTGCGCTCATTTATCTGGCCCTCTTCCCTCGGCCTGGCTGCCTTCGAGGGCGAATTTAAGCTGGCTGAGCTGAATTAGCCCGCTAACGCTAGCTAACTTAGCAACCCAGCAGCCGGTTAGTTAGCTGTAACGATGGCAAGCTAACGTTAGTTAGTACGTCTTAACCGTCCTAACGCCGTGTGAAACGAGGCAGAAGTGTCTTATTGCTGTCCAACTAAAGCCAAACCTTTTGAGGATGAGGTTTTTAGAGTATATTTTGTTCTGAAACATTTACATGCGACGAAAGGAGGACTGACAGCGAGCATTTGCTTTTGTGCCGGCTAGCCGACTAAGCTAGCGTTAGCTGAATAACGTTAATCAAGCCGATTCGCCTTTCTTCACTAGTACCTCCATTTCTAGTACAGTTAGCGTGGCTTCATCAATGTCTTTTTGGTTTAAATGTAACGTTGATCGACAGTGGTATGGACTGTGAAGTGGCCAGCCTCTTAAAACACACTATTTGGAAGAACTTAATGGTTCAGTTGCTAACTTGGCTGTATTTCGCCAAACATGGGAAGTCGGTTCTTTTAGCAGACAGTGTTGGCTAAGCAGCCCTAGTAATTATGCTTGAGGAGGCCCGAGTCTGTTTCAGGTTTTATCCGTCTAGCAGCTTAAAAGTTATGGTAGGGGCAAGCAGGTCACAAGTCCTAACCATTTGGGGATCTGTTTGTATGATACAGGGGTTGTTTATGCTAGATGCTTCAGTAATCATACCGAAAATACACGTTCAAACGTTGCTAAGGCTGATCGTCGGTTCTGTAGGGAACGACAGTGTGTCGCAGAACACAAATTTATAGGCTGGACCCTCGGTGGTCTAGCACAGTGGCCTTCCTACGACGTAGTTACATGCAGTATTGCCCAACACAGGCTTGCTCTCGGAAGTGTGAATTATTCTAGCTAACCTACGTATTGCAGAACCCACTGCGAGCTCTATACTGTGTCAGTAAAATCAGCTATCCGTTTATAATCCAACTGAGAGATGACATTCGAGTTTGTTTAGTCTGGACATTCCTCATGCGAGCTCCAGTACGGTGTATCTGTGAGAGGTCAGCTGTCTTTTGCAGACCACTGCGCCCGTGGCCGGAGATGTTGGGTGAAGCAAGAAGAGCCATCGCCACTCGTTTCAGCTATTCCAGGAATTTAAAAGGAGTTTCATTCCAGAGTTCTTGCCCTGAGAACAGGCGGCTGAACACAGAGGCTGAGCTGGATTAAGACTAGAGGTTTTGGATGTGGCCAGAGGGGGGACCGTGGGATACTTTTGCTCACTGGATTTCTTGAACTCGGGGAGAGATACGGCTGTTGGATCTGATCAGCGTGTACTTAATCCACAAAATAGGCCTCACTCATAAGAGATAAGTGGCTCTGTGGTTAGCATTTTTTCTCAAGCTAGAATTTGGTCTTAGTGTTTTGTAGCCTGAACCTTATCCTAATGTTTTAAACTTTGAATGTAGAGCAAGTTACTCATGTTTCTTAAAGTAGTACTACAATGTCTGGATGGACTAATTAGAAAAAGAAGCAACGAATCTTGAGCGACATGGTGAAGTAATGGACAGTCTGCTCGTTCTAGATTTTCAGGCACTATGAGCTGTTTTTTAAACAGCCAGGTGAGCCAGCAAGCTCGTGCTTTTTTCGTCTTCATGCTTGAAGCTTTGAGAGCCTCGTTTTTCTACCGTAGTGCTGCATAATTTATTGTTTGTTAATCATTACTGATGCAAACAAGTGAACCAAATGTTTTTGGTCAAAATAATGCAAACCTGTCTCTAACCCTGTTAAATGAATGAGTTCTTAATCTAATGTGCTCAAAATATGTAGCAGCTTACTCACAGTACTGTCTTTTGTCCATATTGTGCAGGCCTTCCTCAAAGTCAGCCTTCATTCATATTTTGCACTAAGTATGCACATTTGTGACTGATAACATCCTTGCCCCACCCGCTCAAAGACCAAACCCAGCTTTTCAGTGTCAGTACTAAAATTGAGAGAATTGAGAGAGCGTCGTCATATTTAGCCCACATTTCCACTTTCTGTGCGTCATCCATTAATTGCTATTGAGGACGAGCAGTATTCTTTTCACAGGTTGCTCCGTTCATATTGCTGTGCTATGAGTAGCAAGAAGGATGTTAGCACATAGCCCTGCCCATTGGTGGAAACCCTAAACAAAAACCAAGCCTGGTGGAGGCCTAGGTTGTAGAGGAGCCTGAAGGTGCTTCAGGGTGGTTTAGGATCAGAGAAAAGCCGGGCTTGAGACCTGCCGGAAGTGGCTATAGAAAAGTGATGAGCCCTGGTGCAGCCTGGCACTCGCGGGCACTGTGAAGCTTTTTATGAGGTTTGCCTCCAGCACGTCAGGTGCACCAGCATGTCTTCACAAAGTATCAGCAGCCTATAACACACACACACACACACACACTCGCTCTCTCTCTCCCTCATACACACACATACTGTGTCATTATGTTGGACTCAGCAGTGCCAAGCTGTCAAATCACTAGAGGAGGCTTCAGGCCTCTGGCTCATGGAGTGTTTCCCCACTGCTTTTGCAAATGCATTAATCTCAAATTCGAAGTCATTATTAATGACCATTTGTAAACGTTGTTAGGAAGGGCACTATTTATTTTTATATATAGATATAGTTGATAATCTAGGTTATTTTGATGATAATTTGAATTTAAAAAAAATGACAAAACAGTACAGATGGACTTGACTGAACTGACTATGCACAAAAAAACACTTTTTGTGGAAAAATATTGAATTCAGAAACATTAAAGATTTCATAAAATAAATAAATACGTTCTGTGGCCAAAAAAATGCTTGTAAACAGGTTTGTGTCTGTCTAGCTCTGTTTCTCACAGTAGGAGACTGTATCATGCACGTTATTGATTTGTTGAATTGTAAATTTTATCCGCCT